CACACACAGACAACCTCTCGTCAGTATGCGTTTTCTGCATTGCATAGCTGCAAAAACGCATAAAAATATACACCAAGAACACCAAGACTGTTGGACTACCAGTGTGGGCATCTCGTTTCGGGATATCCCAGGAAAGGATATGGATTTTAAGTCTTGGGATACTGCTAGACTGGGGTTGGGATAAAATTTGGGAAGCTTTGGGAAAGCGTCCCTCCATTGAGTGAGAAAAGTTCTGATCTTAATGGCGTGTTACTGGAATGCTCCCGCAGGCCACTTACGCAGTCGTTTCGCTTCTAAGCGGCATACTTCCGTTTATTTGGTGCTGACCCGCATTTTCAGTATAATGTGCATGCGATTCAAAATTGATGCCAATAAAAAATCTAAATTTGAATCACCAAGAATGGCCTTTTTTGACACTCACAGGAATAAACTTGTCATCAGGTTACAGTTGAGCAACTTTGAAAAAGGAAACCACCGATAGCTTTGTCAGCGGATAGCTGATGTTTTAGTTGTTCCCGCTCGGACTACTTCTCTAATTCTCCCACCTGTCATGGAAACTTTTAAAAATTTGTAGTGTTTTTTGAAGCATTTGCATTCCCCGTTTCTGCAGCAAAAGAAATAAGCCGGCGCTACGAGGAAACGGCAATGGAAGCGGCCCCAATACCACGTTATCTTTCACGTTTGGATTACAACAAACTGATGGAGTTCCGAAGGACTGGCATTTCGGAATCAGTTCCTCTCCTGGTTGGTGCCCATTTTTATTACACCTTAAGCGATCGTACTAGTTTTGGTTGAAATTTTAGAAGAAAGCTGTAGTGCATGCTATCCTGCGCACTGAAAAGATTTTTGAGGACTTTTGTTTTTCAGTATGTATTTTTTTTCACTGTTTCTACGATTCATTTATTCATTTCTATGGTAAATTGATACTGGCATTTGTCAAGGAGTCAAACCCCCGCTATAAGCTAATTTTTAAGCAACTTTTGGAAAAGAAAACTGTTGACGGGTTTGTGGCCTACAAAGAAATAGTAATTTAGCTAAAATTAAGATTTTTCAGTTTATTAATTTGCATACACTTTAACTTAGCGCCACAGCTGGACTTCTCAGTACGACCGTTGCTATATAGATTATTATTATTATCATTGTTATTATTACCATTATTATAAAAAGAGGTAGAGATAGAGTTATGCGAAAGCGGGGATCTGAAACATGCGGGTAACGCGTACGGCATGCGGGTAACGCGTTCCTCGTACCCGCGGGTAATGCCTACTGCCCTGTGAAAGTTTTTTACAGGTAAGTTAATATCTTGGGAACCACGGAGTCTAGGAGGCTGAAATTTTAGGGTAATGGCCCTCTGCCCATGCTCAACCTTACCCATTCAAAATCACCCTTCCCTTACCCGCGGGTAACACGTAAGGCCCCGTGAAAGTTATTCACGGGTAAGTTAATATCTC